TGGTTAGTTTCCTGACAACGTAAGAAAAATTTATATCCATTAATCACCCAGAATCGTGCTGAGTACTGAGAGAATAGATTATCTATCTTCTATCTATCTATCTTATTTGAGAAGGGTACTGAGCCCTTGAAGGGTTTCCAATCTAGCAGAATCTTTGAAATATTTTTTAGAATAATGCAACAAAAGGACAAACATTATATGATTCCACTTATATAAGGTACATACAATAGTTAAATTCACAGACAGAAACTAGACTAGTGATTGGGGGAGGAGGCCTGGGGAGTTATTCTTTAATAGGTACTGAGCTTCTGTTTGAGATGATGAAAAAGTTCTGGAGATAGACAGTGGTAATGGTTGTACAACATGAATGTGTTTAACGCCATTGATTTGTACACCTAAAAATGGTTAAGTAGATAAATTTTATACTATGCATATTTCACTACAATCTAAAAAAATGCACAACTGTTTAAAAAAATCTTCATGTGCTAAATTATGCAGCCAATGCTGAAAGTGACTTGTAGCTATAATGAACTCACAATTTAAAAAAAGCTCAAGGAGGGCTGGAGTAACTGAGAAACGTTTTATAGGAAAGGCAAGTTATGGTCAGTGCTGCAATTCTGTGTCCACAATTGGTGGGTTCTTGGTCTCACTAACTTCAAGAATGAAGCCGCGGACCCTCCTGGTGTTACAGTTCTTAAAGATGGTGTGTCCAGAGATTGTTCCTTCAGACGTTCAGATGTGTCTGCAACTTCTTCCTTCTGGTGGGTTCGTGGTCTCGCTGTCAGCAGTGAAGCTGCAGACCTTCGTGGTGACTATTACAGCTCATAAATGCAGTGTGCACCCAAAGAGTGAGCAGCAGCAAAATTTATTGCAAACACCGAAAAAACAAAGCTTCCACAGTGTGGAAGGGGACCGGAGCAGGTTGCTGCTGCCTACCTGGGACAGCCTGCTTTTATTCCCTTATCTGACCCCACCCACATCCTGCTGATTGGTCCATTTTACAGAGACCTGTCGGTCTATTTAACAGAGAGCTGATTGGTTCGTTTTGACAGAGTGCTGATTGGTGCGTTTACAATCCTTGAGCTAGACACAGAGTGCTAGACGGAAAAGGTCTCCAAGTCCCCAGTAGGTTAGCTAGACACAGAGTTAGCTAGATACAGAGTACCGATTGGTGAATTTACAAACATTTAGCTAGACACAGAGTACTGATTGGTGTATTTACAAACCTTGAGCTAGACAGAGTGCTGATTGGTGTATTTACAATTCTCTAGCTAGACATAAAAGTTCTCCAAGTCCCCACCAGATTAGCTAGATACAGAGTGCTGATTGGTGCACAAACAATCCTCTGGCTACATATAAAAGTTCTCCAAGTCCCCATCCGGCTCAGGGGCCCAGCTGGCTTCACCTAGTGGATCCTGCACCCGGGCTGCAGGCAGAGCTGCCTGCCAGTCCTCAGCTGCACTCCTCAGCCCTTGGGCGATCGATGGGACTGGGCGCCAGGGAGCAGGGGGCAGCGCCCGTCAGAGAGGCTTGGGCTGCATGGGAGCCCACCGCAGCAGGGAGCTCAGACGTGGTGGGCTGCAGGTCCCGAGCCCTGCCCCACGGGGAGGCAGCTAAGGCTGAATTTGAGTGCAGCGCTGGCAGGCCAGTACTGCTGGGGGACGTGGTGCAACCTCTGCAGCTGCTGGCCCAGGTGCTAAGCCCCACACTGCCCTGGGCCGGCGGTGCCAGCTGGCCGCTCCATATGTGGGGCCCACCGAGCCAGCGCCCGCACCCTCACCTGCCGGCACTCGCACTGGCCCGTGGTGCAGCCCGGGTTCCTGCCTGCTCCTCTCCCTCCACACCTCCCCACAGAGGGAGGCAGTTCTAGCCTCAGCCAGCCCAGAGAGGGGCTCCCACGGTGCTGTGGTGGGCTGAAGGGCTCCTCAAGCCCCGCCAGAATGGATGCTGAGGCCGAGGAGGCACTGAGAGTGAGGGCTGCTAGCACATTGTCACCTCTCAATTCCAGCACTTTGGGAAGCTAAGGTAGGAATTCTAGCTGCTTGGGTGGGGTGGGGCCTTATTACAGATGGACCTGAGCAGCAGGCAGACACTTGAATTTGAAACCTTGGGCACTAGGGGTTCGTTGTAGCGTTTGTTTGTTTGTTTGTTTTTTCAGACAGAGTTTCACTCTTGTTGCCTAGGCTGGAGTGCAATGGTGCGATCTCGGCTTACTGCAACCTCCGCCTCCCAAGTTCAAGAGATTCTCCTGCCTCAGCCTCCCAAGTAGCTGGGAGTACAGGCGCCTACCACCATGCCCCACTGATTTTTGTAGTTTTAGTAGAGATGGGGTTTCACCATGTTGGCCAAGTTGGTCTTGAACTCCTGACCTCAGGTGATCCACCCTCCTTGGCCTCCCAAAGTGCTGGGATTACAGGCGTGAGCCACCGTGTCTGACCCATTGTAGTGTTTTAAAATTTAGGTTTTTTGGCCAGGCGCGGTGGCTCAAGCCTGTAATCCCAGCACTTTGGGAGGCCGAGACGGGCGGATCACGAGGTCAGGAGATCGAGACCATCCTGGTTAACATGGTGAAACCCCGTCTCTACTAAAAAAAAGAATACCAAAAACTAGCCGGGCGAGGTGGCGGACACCTGTAGTCCCAGCTACTCGGGAGGCTGAGGCAGGAGAATGGCGTGAACCCGGGAGGCGGAGCTTGCAGTGAGCTGAGATCCGGCCACTGCACTCCAGCCTGGGTGACAGCGCGAGACTCCGTCTCAAAAAAAAAAAAAAAATTTAGGTTTTTTTTTTTTTTACTGCTGATATCTGAGCAACGTCTGTATACTTAATTCTAATAAGCCAATGAGTCTGGTTTTGATAATATACAATAATTATGTAAGATGCCACCATTGGGGAAATCTGGGTGATGGGTACAAGGGACGTTTCTGCATTATTTTTGCAACTTCTTATGAGTCCAGAATTATTTCACAATTTAAAAAGTTTAAAGTTAATTGTTGAAAGATTAATCTGCTATCTGTGTGCATGATAGTTTGAAAGAAAAAGAAATAGAGAGAAAGTCATTCCAAGTATGTATTTCCTTGCTTAAACACTTACCCATGGTTCATTCAAAAAAGAGGATAGTTCCGGGTAAATAAAACTCTCATTCCCACCATTTAGCTAAGGAAAAGATCTTTAGTTTATTCAGTTTTTGAGCCAAATGCTGTGTTGCTGGATGAGAATGTTTGGTCTTGTGAGTTTGGAATTGAGAGTGACTTTATAGGCAGTCACCTAGAGGTAGTCAGGCTCTGACCTGTTTATAAAGAGACTGAGCAACTCCATCCTCTCAGCTGTTGGACCAGCTAAAATAGAGTTTATTCTCTAGGAAAACACAATGAAAGTACCTCTCAAGGTCTGTAGCTCTACAAAGAGGGTATTGGGTTTGGTACAATCTTCTGCAGCTAGTGAGTGGGCATCTGGCTGAACAATATGCCCATCCTGAGTGATGGAGACTCAGAAGTCGCTCATCCAAACATCATCTGCTTGCCCAACCAAGCCTATTCAGCATCCACAATCCACAAAGGAAAAAGCTGAACACCAACAAGTAAATGTTCTCCTGCTTCCCTTCCTTGAGCTTTTTGTTTTGTTTTGTTTTCAGAGAACAGATATTGTTTGGGGTAAATAGTGAGCTTATATTTACCCCAAATAGTAAATAGGAGTTAGAGGTCATCTTTTCAAGTCATCTCTCTTATCAGGTAGCTAGTCCATCTTCCCTGTGTTCCCCCAGGATGATTGGGACCCATTAATGAGCCACTTGGAGTAAATTCCACCAGCTTGCTGCAGCTGGGTGCCAGGATATGGGCCAAAAGAGGAGGTGGCAGGGTGTCCAGAAGGAATTGGAAACACTTTGCCCTGTTTTTGTCTTTCACTAGCTCTTCTTAAAGTTTATGCCCTTCATCTCATTCTGACCCTTGCTTCAGCATTTCTTTCACAGGGGACAGGGCTCCTGCTGCCCGTTGAGTTTGTTTTCTGCTTTGGATAGCAGCTGGCTCCCCTAATGCTTCTGAGACAGCTCAATTATCTTGATTGTTGCAGTTTGGGCTGCGGAATTAAACCAGCCGGTCATGAATACACAGAGGATTTATCACTTAATAGCTGAATTGCTTGGGTCATTAAGGAGTAGGAGAGAAACAGCCAAGTGATTGTTAATCCTGCAGAAATGTAACAAGAAGATGGCTGTTAGCTTCCTGTTGCATCCTTTAACAGTCCCCTCTGTGAAAGGATGTCTTGTATTTTGCTTTTGTGATCTTTGGGGTGGGAAGCACAGTTTGGCGAGAGGTAAGGGGCATGGCAAGGTGACGGGAAAGCAGTTTTAGACTTCTGCAAGCAAGCTGTGTACTTTGGGTTTTTGCATATCCTGTCACACTAGTGTCCTCCTAAGGTTTATTCCAAAGGTATTTGCATGCTCTCCTGATAATGGTATTTGCCTTCAGCTGGGCGGATAGCTGGGTTCCAATCTTTCCCGCTGCTCCTGTGTGGACTCGGTGGGAGGACAGAATGAGTTTGCCAAGAGGACTCAAAACTTTAATGCTTGCCTTAAAAATTCAGTTCCCATCCACCTGGTGGCTGATGAGAGACCTTGACCCTGAACTATACCAGTGTTCCTACAAAGCAGAACATTTACTCCAGAGAAAAGCCATACACCAGACCAAAATAAAAAATAAAAAAAAAAAAAAAATCACCTACTCTCAAACTTTGTGCTAGGGGGCAGGGATGGAACAAAGCAGCTTTTGAAAAAGGGGAATTCCTTGAGCACCTCCTAGCAGTGTGACTGTGCCCTCCTCTCAGCCTATGCCCTTTCTTCTGTGTGAGCCAGGTTTGAAAGCATCCCCTTGGAGCAGGAGATGAGTGGGCATCAGAGAAGTCCTGTGTGTACCTTTGTGTAGGTACTTCTTGAAATTTCACCAAAGGAACGTGTAAAAGGGGTGCTTGAACCCCCATCCCCTGACACACACACACACAGAGACTTCCATGAATATCTACACTTTTAATGTTGCCATGATGGCTTCATTTTAACTAAAATGACCCCAAAACCAGGCTCTACAAAAGGTCGATACAAAAATGTAATCCTTAATCTCAAATTACACCCAACTACCCTGTGCAGCCAAGCTTCCCAGACAAACTTTCAACAAACCACAGATGACAGCAGTAGTAGCCAGAGCAGAGCCGTCCCTGCAGAATCAGGCAATGGTTGTTTCTAGCACAAGAAAAGCCATCTCCTCTAGTTTGCCCCACAGGTTGTTTGTGAAAACTGGAAGTCCCTCCCCTCCTTCCCAGCGTAGTTGTCTGTGTGCTATTTGGCGCCAGTCAAAGGTGCTTGGATCTCTTTTTCAGCAGCTGCTGCTGGGCTGAGGGGTAGTCTTCACCCAGAAAGGCCTTGTCCCCTCTGCACCTCCAACATTGGGTGACTGTCCCCCAATAAGTCCACCTTGAAGAAGTCTTCTTCTTCTTGGTTCCCTCATTAATTTATCTTAGATTTGTTGATCAGAAAGTGGTATGTGGTCATGTAGAAATTTGGACCAGTTCCACAAAAGGGTCAAGAAGCATAAAAACCTAGCAGCCATGCACAATATCCCCGTCCAGCAGTAACCAATATTAACATAATAAGGTATGTCTCTCCTGGCCTTTATTGTTCCGTGTTTTGTTGACATGGTTGAGATCCTACTACCTGGAAAAGGTAGCAACCATTTTATTGCCCCCTGCTTTTTTTCTCCTTAAGTATTTTATCCACAAGCAGGCATCATATTCTGTCTTATGAATGCACTGACGTTTGTTTTTTAGAACATATGATAACCACAGTGCCATATCTTTCATGAAATGTAATGCTGAAAGGTAAAATAACAATAAGTGATACTGTTAGAGAGCTTCTATGCAAAGTACTCTTCTAAGTGCCTCACATGTCTTAACTCATTTAATCCTCACACAACTCTTTGAGGCAGGTTCTATTAATATCCCCATGTGAGAGAGGGGGAACCTAAGAAGAGATGAGTGACTTGCTCAGAGAAACACAGGTAGTAAGCAGCAAGGCTGGGCTTTGAACCCAGGCGTTGTGGCTCTAGAGCCTGTGCTCTCAACAACTGCATGCTGGCCAGTATCAGCACTAAATGCAATCATTAAGGCAGCTTACAATCTAATATACAAGATACAACAACATTTTCCAGTCAAGAGAAGGGTTTTCAAGATTCAATATACATTCTTTCATTGGTTTACAATCCAGACTCATAATACTGTTTATCAGCCATAAACAACAGACCTTTCCCAATGCTGTTAGAGAACAAATGGGAAAGAGGATACACAGAGAAAAAGGGTGATTTTGCTTTTCTGAAGTATTGCCCTGTATCTGCCAATCAACTTAAAACTTAATTACAAAGAGAAATCATCCTCAAGAGAGTGTGATATTACTGTATAATAGGGAAAAATTTACCATTTATGTAGTGAGCTTCCCTTTCCTCAGGATAGCATTTCAAACACCTCTCTCCCTTACAGGATCCTGTAAGTGAAATGTAGACAATTGCACTTACAGGATCCTGAATGCTCCTTAATTCCCTTTCTTTTCTCTTCTGTGCCTTAAAAACTTTCCCATGTCCCCATCCAGACATTCAACCATTTCCTTCTCTCTTCGCTGCATTCCCATCACTGAACTACTGATGTGGGTATGGGCATTTACCAAAGTCAAAGCCTCCATCCTCTCTCGTGTGCAGAGCTCCCCATAACAACAGTCGACTTGCCTAGCAAATTTCATCACAGTACATTTCCAGAAGTTTTGATTCTCTGGGTATCTCTCTGAATTTCTCCAACCCTGATAGAATTTCAGAGTCTGCCCTACGCTGTTCTGCATTTGTTTCTCATCTCCCCTCTTAGGCACCCTTGTGAATTTGTTCAGCTTGGAATATATGTCTCCCAGAAATGGAGCCCTCTCAAATGAAGTCTGCAAAGGAGCTGTTGCTGAGAAAGGGGCACCAACCTGTGCCCTCACATACCAAGGAAGAACAGCCTTTGTTTCTTCCTCACTGTTCGCCAGGTGAATTCTCCAAATTTTCTGCCCCACATTCACCCTTGAACCTTCAGCAGGAGACTCTCTCTGAAAAAAAGTCTGGACTGGATCTGCTACTGTGGGTGATGCCCAAACTTGTACTGTCAGGGGCCAGGGATGAGCCAGAACACTTTTGTTCTTTCTATTCCTCCTTTTATGTCTTCTTTTCTTCCCTACCTTTCCCCCACTGTTAGCAGCAGGGAACGTCCCCTCCAGAGCTGTAGCTGAGCATGGGACACCATCCTGTGCACTCTGACACAAAGTAGGAGTTGACATTTTATCTATCTCATCCTTGCTTTTGTGCCCCACACTGACCCCATCATTAGCAACTGGAATAGCCTCTGCAAAAATGGTCTGTACCTGAGCTGGGACTGTGAAAGATGCCCAAGCCTGTACTCTCAGAGGCCAAGGACTAGCCACAATCTTTTTGTTCTTTTCATATCTCCCTTTATGGCGGCTTTTCTGCCCTCTTTTAATCTCCCCATTTGCTGCCAGAGAGGCCCCCTCAAGAGAGGACTGAACTGGACTTGCTGCTGGCAGCAGGGTGCCAGCCGGTGTCTTCCAAGGCTGCAAGAGAACTGTCTTCTCCTTATTATTCCTTCTTTGCTCCCTGCTTTCTTGCCCTGCATTGACATTGACATCGGCAACTGGCAAAGCCCCCATAACATAAGTCTGACTCAGAACTGGGGCTGCAGAAGATGCCCGAGGCTGTAGCGTCCGAGGCCAAGAAAGATACACAACCTTACTTTCCTTTCTATTCCTCCCTTTATGGCTATTTTTTTTCCTTACATTTCCCCCATCATTAGCAGCAGAGGACGCCCTCTCCAATACTGTGTGAACCAGAGCCACATTTGGGCCTGAGGAACCAGGCACTGTACTTGGACACAAAGTAGAATGAGACATTTCTTCCATCTCATCATTCTCTTTTTCACCCATGCTTTTCTGCCCATTTACCCCTTGACTGATGATGGGCGGAGCATCTTCAAGTGGAGTCTGAACTGGAGGTGCCACCTCTGAGGGTACTGCTGCTGTGGCTGGATCTGTGTCACTTGCCTTGGTGGTCAGAGCCTCCATATGAGCTAAAATGTCCTTTTTCATGTTTCTCTTCCTTCTAACTTTGCTTTGCTTTTGTTTCTGGATCAGGTGGAGTGTTTACCTGGAGTGGAGAGAGCAGAAAGTAATCCAAGAGACAAATATGAGTTGTAGTCAACACAAGTAAAATGTCCTTTCCGGAAGAACAGTTATAATTAAGTATTAGATCTGAGGGCTGAAATCAGGATTAGTCTCTAAGGATACCTGAAATGAGTACCGTAAAAATAGGAACTCAGTACAGGTTGAGGAGGCCATAAACAAGATAAGGATGTCAGAAGCCTGTCCTCACTGGCTGTTGATTCTTTGGTGTGGTGCTAAACCTCCACAACCTTCCACAAAATTTTCCTCTCCCACTACAGTGAATCAACTGTGGACCCTGGATGCCCTCAATATACCGATGCGTGGCGCAGTTTCAATCTTCATCAGCTTTTGAAATCCTCAGTGTCTTCTTTGAAAGCAGAGGACAACACTGAAACAAACAACAAAAATCCCACAAAGATACTTGGATAAATATTCCCATTTTCACCTAAGGGGGATAGACACATCACTTATTGGTCAGGTAAAGACTTTAGCACTGTTGTTACCTTTTCATACTTCAGATTTCAACCTCAGGAGACCAAATCACACGTGAGAAAACTATGGGTGAGCCTGTAAAATCAGAGAAAGAAAGTATCATCAAAATGAGCCTGAGAAGGTGTCTGGGAAGCCACTCTGACAGAATCTTACCTGACTATCCTAGAAATGTGGTGTCCACGTTTCTTCTCAAGCTCACTCTCTTTTCGGTCCCATGTAGAGGAATTGGTATACATACAGATGACCCAGACACTATATAATTCTGTACCACAATAGCTTTAGCAATTGATGAAGAGATTCCATTTAGGTCTCCTTCACTGATTTCCGATTCTTTGCAAGTTGAGAATCCTGGTGTGGGCTTGTGGGGGAGGGCTCATTCCATTAACCAGCCCAATTCTTCCCTCATGCATTCAGATAAGCAGACCTATAGACAGTTTCTATTTCCCAAATTCGTAAACTGTCTGGCTCCCCTGTGAATTCCAGCCCTTTTTTAAGCTTTCCACTGTACTATATATATGCGGCATAATCTTGGAACGGGCTAATTATTTACATAATCTCCTTTCTCTCTGAGCAAACATTTTTTTTGTTGTTGTTGTTGACCTTTTGACCAAAAAAAAAAAAAAAAAGAGAGAGAGAGAGAATAAATCAAGATAGAATCAAACTTTCTTTCTGTAATTATGACTGACACAGAAAGCTTGATGAGGCCCCTGTGTTTTCCTTTGATAAGAAAGTGTAACCACACATCAGAGCAAAGCAAGGCCTGGCATTGACCTGGCAAGTTCAGAAATGGAAAACTTGTTTTTGTTTTTTAATCTGGAAAATGTTTGTATCTAGAGCAAGAGATGCATCAGTGCCTATGTGAATATGGTGTCCTCCTCAATGGATATCGGAGAGGGCTCTCTAGACCTTCTGTTGGTGTCATAAAGCGCCTAGGGCTATTTTTGCACAGGCAATATTCTCACACAATCCTTGTTCAAGTGCTCCCAATATATGATTGTAGAAAGAGGAATCACACAGCAAAAATTACATACACTTATTATCTAGCAAGATTTCTACTTTTTTTTTTGTTTGTTTGAGACGGAGTCTCTCTCTGTTGCTAGGCTGGAGTGCAATGGCGCGATCTGGGCTCACTGCAACCTCCGCCTCCCGGATTCAAGCGATTCTCCTGCCTCAGCCTCCCAAGTAGCTGAGATTACAGGCGCCTGCCACTACGCCTGGCTAATTTTTGTATTTTAGTAGAGATGGGGGTTTCACCATATTGGTCAGGCTGGTCTCGAACTCCTGACCTCAGGTGATCTGCCCACCTCAGCCTTCCAAAGTGCTGAGATTACAGGCATAAGCCACCGTGCCGGCGCACGATTTCTATTTTTAAAAAATTTTTAAATTTTTTTAAATTCTACTTTAAGTTCTGCGATACATGTGCAGAATGTGCAGGTTTGTTACACAGGTATACATGTGCCATGGTGGTTTGCTGCACCTATCAATCCGTCATCTAGGTTTTAAGTCCTGCATGCATGAGGTATTTATCCTAATGCTCTTCCTCCCCTTACCCGATTTCTAGTTTTTAAATGTCTTTCCTGATGCTATGGTTGTTTTTTCATTGCTCCATGTGTAGGTTAAGGTACTTGTGGTGCTAAGGCTAGCTTAGCTCATGACCAATGCAGAGGTTATCACTAGATGAAATCCAGCTGGCTGACTGCCAAGAGGTCACACAAAGTGAAATTTACCTGGTTTAGTGCAATAGGGTCCAAGGTCTGACCCCCTCACTGAGAGTGGGCGTCTGGTGGTAGATGTGTATTAACCAATCACACAGAGCCAGGTCTATCTCAACCGTCTATCTATATCCACATCCATGTTTGTAACTATGTCTATATCTATGTGAGACACACTGTCCCCTGGATTACACGTGGAGGATGACTGCCTGCTTCAAGCTCCTTAGATTTTCCTTGCTGTGTTGACCCTTTTATTCACACAGATTCACTCATTCACTCATTCAACAAATATGTACTGACACTGCTTTATACCAAACATGCGGCTAGGTGCAAGAGAACATATAATTACTTTTCATGTTACTTAATTACAGTCGCATTCCATATGGGTTTCTCGGAGATGAATACTTTAATTGGAGTTTTAAATGTTTCCAAACCTCAAGTCACACATTTAGAGGCAGTCTCTTCCTTGGCTGTCATAGATGGCTATGACCATTCCTTGTGTAAGGTTTCTACTAGTTTAATTCTCAGAGGCCAACTCAAGTTACCCTTTATTGAGGTTATTGAGGCCTTTATGCACTTTTTCCCCCTGGTACTGGCAATCAACCTGTCTGACTTTTGTGTAAGAAGAGAATAACTCCTAATTCTGGTATCATTCTCTTGCTTTGTGCCATCACCAATTCCTTTCCAACTTTTCAGTAAAGAGGTAGCAACTGTTTGATGTTCATTTATGTGTGTGTTACATAAGAGTCTAATTTACATGTGCTGTAGTATAGGGATTGTTTGATGTCCCTCCTTTGATAGGCAGGAACCACTGAGTGTGGGCCTGATAGGCAGGGTCCTATAGGGGGCAAAAGATTTGAAACCATGTCCTAAAGAGGGTTGTGCACCAGGAAGAGTAGTCTCATCATTTAGGATTCTTTCATTGCAAGTGACCAAAAGATAATAAACTACCCAAACTGGCTTAAGCAAAACGGGCCATTTATGGCTCACTATAAGCATAAATGATTGGGGCAGATCCGACTTCCTGTGTGACTCAATTCAATGTGCAAATTATTTCACCAGGAACCATCAGAAATACTTGTCTTGTGTTGGTTTTCATTTTCAGGCTCTTACTAGAGACCCCTGGTACCTTCAATGTCACAATACTTCATACAGCAGTAGAAGTTGCTTCCCTAGATCAATTATTGTGGTCAAATAGATGGAATGTTCATACACTGAGTCTCTTCAAATTCAAGAGGGAATACCAGCAACTTCAGAGGCTGAGGTGGGAGGATCACTTGAGACCAGGGGTTTGTAACCAGTCTGGGTAACATAGCAAGACCTCCTCTCATTTAAAAAAAAAATTAGCTAGATATGGTGGTGGACACCTGTAGTCCCAGCTACTCAGGAGGCTGAGGTGGGAGGATCGCTTAAGCCCAGGAGTTTGAGGCTGCAGTGAGCTGTGATCACACCATGGACAGCAGAGCAAGACTTTGTCTCTAAAAAAAATTATTTTAATTAAAAAAATTTAAAAATTTAAGAGGGAAGCTGGAAAATGAGAATGAAAATACATAGAGATGTTTGAGAAGACAGAGAAGGTGAGAAAAGTGTCACATAGAAGTGAAGAAAGCCTAGAGCAATTCCTGAATAGTAATGTAGGCACCCACACTGATCCATTATTTATTTATTTTTTTGAGACGGAGTCTGGCTCTGTCACCCAGGTTGGAGTGCAGTGGCACGATCTTGGCTCACTGCAACTTCCGCCTCCTGGGTTCAAGTGATTCTCCTGCCTCAGCCTCCTGAGTAGCTGGAACTACAGGGGCATGCCACCACGCCCAGCTAATTTTTGTATTTTTAGTAGAGACGGGGTTTCACCATGTTGGCCAGGATGGTCTTGATCTCCTGACCTCATGATCCACCCGCCTCAGCCTCCCAAAGTGTTGGGATTACAGGCGTGAACCACCACGCCCGACCGACTCATCTTTTAAAATAACTTTTTTGAGATAGGATTCACATACATAAAGTTCACGCTTTAAAAGTTGTTTTTAAGTATATTCACAGAGTTGTGCATCAGTCACCACTACCCAATTCCAAAGCATTTTCATCATCCCAAATAGAAACTCTTCATTTGCTCTCCTCCTCCCAGCTTCTGGTAACCACTAATCTACTTTCTGTCTATATAGATTTGCCTATTCTGGATATTTCATACTGGAACAATATAATCACATATAATTATACAATATGTGACATTTTGTATCTGACTTCTTTCACTTTAGCATACTGTTTGCAACGTTCATCCATATTATAACATGTGTCAGTACTTCATTTCTTTTTATGGCCAATAAATGTTCCATTGTATGGATATATCACATTGTGCTTATCATTCATCAGGTGATAGACATTTGCATTGTTCTGCCTTTTGACTATTTTGAATGATGGGGCTATAAACATTTGTGTACAGGTTTTTGAGTGGGTATATGTTTTCAATTCTCCTGAATATGTACCTAGGAGTAGAGTTGCTGGATTATATGGTAACTTAATGTTTCACCATTTGAGTAATTGCCAGGGTCTTCTGCAGGGGATACGCCATTTTACATTTTACATTCCCACCAGTAAGGTGTAATTTCTCTACATCCTTGCCAACATTGTTGCTGTCTTTTTTTTAATTAATTAATGCCATCTTAGTGGGTGTGAAGTGGTACCTTACTATAGTTTTGATGTGCATTTCCTTAATGACTAATGATGTTGAGTATTTTTTCACGTGTTATTGGCCACTTCTGAGTCTTTTTTTTTTTTTTTTTTTTTTTGAGATGGAGTTTTGCTAATGTTGCCCAGGCTGGAGTGCAGTGGCGCCATCTCGGCTCACCGCAACCTTTGCCTCCCAGGTTCAAGCGATTCTCCTGCCTCAGCCTCCTGAGTAGCTGGGATTCCTGGCATGCACCACAACGCCCAGCTAATTTCTAGTAGAGATGGGGTTTCTCCATGTTGGTCAGGCTGGTCTCGAACTCCCGACCTCAGGTGACCTGACTGCCTTGGCCTCCCAAAGTGCTGGGATTACAAGTGTGAGCCACTGCGCCCAGCCTCTGTGTCTTCTTATAAGAAATGTCTATTCAAATCCTTTGCCCATTTAAAAAATTGGGCATTTTGAAATTTTTTAAATTATATTTTTATTATTTAGTTGTAAGAGTTTATTATATGTTTTGGATCTAAGTCATTTATGATACATGTGAGTTGCAAATATTTTCTCCCATTTTGTTGCCTGGCTTTTCACCTTCTTGATAGTGTCTTTTGAAGCACAAGTATTTTTAATTTTGATGACATTCCATTTATGTTTTTCTTTTGTTGTTTGTGTTTTCTAAGGACATAGAAAGTTGTCATATTTAAAGTTGTGCTTTCTTTTTTTTAAGTTTGTTTTGTTTTGTTTTGTTTTGTTTTGTTTTTGAGATGGAGTCTTGCTCTGTCGCCCAGGCTGGAGTGCAGTGGTGCAATCTCAGCTCACTGCAACCTTCACCTCCTAGGTTCAAGCGATTCTCCTGCCTCAGCCTCCCAAGCAGCTGGGGTTACAGGTGCACATCACCACACCCAGCTAATTTTTTGTTATTATTATTATTATTTTTTGAGACAGAGTTTCACTCTTGTCGCCCAGGCTGGAGTGCAGAGAGCAGTGATGCGATCTCAGCTCACTGCAACCTCAGCCTCCTGGGTTCAAGCGATTCTCCTGCTTCAGCCTTCCAAGTAGCTGGGATTACAGGCATGTGCCACCACACCCGGCTAATTTTTTTTTTTTTTTTTTTGT